GAAAACGAAAAATTTAGTTAGGAGAAGGTTAGAAAGAGGGCACGAGTTGAAATATTACCTTGGAAGTTACAAAAATCCCAGCTACAGCATATCAAGCACCGTTATTCATATCCTCCTCCCTCCCTCCCCTCACCCTCCCTCTCCCTCAGCTCTTGCCCCCGCCCTAAGTCATTACTGTGACAAAACCTCGTTTACCGTATGCGCTGTGTGTGCTCATTAGCCCTCTTAACAGTTCCAACAAATTCTAAATAATTCTCAAAAACAGCCGATATCTACTGCTTATATGCAGAAAATGAGAAATGTCTTCCCTCCCTGCAAAATTCACTTTTTTCCCGACTTCCAGGATATCCAATACAATACTTGTTTGCCTTAGCAGATAACCTCACACTTATCCCAGAGAATAAGTTAATCCAAGCATGCATCATTCGATTGCACAACACATAGATTTATAAGGACTCACTTTACACGAATTTCGCAACTGCTTGATAATTCGATCCAATTTCGTGAACTCTTTTTGATCAAAATAAAGCTTTCCAAGTTTTGTGTTTGTCTTAAACCACAATCGCTCATTCTTTGCGTCCTGAAACGCAAAAAAAAAAGAAAATAGAACCAGAGATGGATACAAAAAAAACTGACTTCAAATTTGGAATTGTGTAACCCTATAACTGCATCTATTTCCCTCCTTCCACTAATTTTTAACACTTCGTCCTACTCCCCTCTACTCCCTAATTTCTAACGGTTTCAGCAAATTCTAAATAATTTCATAATTACCTACCTTCTCACCCACTAACTAACTTGCCCTCCTTTTCCCTCGAGGTAATTTTCCCCGTATAAACCTCTTCCTAAATCCCAGGCTCTTTGGGAAATCAACAGGATCGACAACGACACTTGTTCGCTACGTTCTACTGCTAACGTTATTAGCGTCTCGTCTCAACACCGCCAGCGTTCTTCTGCTGAACAGCTTGTGCGGCGCCCCGTCTCGTCGTTTTACGCGTCGTTCCACTTGTCATTCTATTTGAAGCGAAGTTCCCGTTGGAAGAATAAAGTGCTGGTATTCTTCCCTGTCTTCCGTTGCTGCAGTCAAGGACCACGTGAGGGCCTA